AGTTTGTAAGAAAATTGGTAGTGTTTGAAAGAATTCTTGCTTACAAATACATTTTAAATTTTTTGTATTTTCGCTTTTCGTTTTTTTTGTAGTAGAGTTTTAAGTCTATGCAAGATTTGAGATAATGCAACATACATTTTTGTTGTTGTTTTCGCAATAATGTCTAAATAATTTAAAACTAGGTCATGTGTGTAAGCAAATTGTTTAAACAAAAGATAAAAAATAATAACAAAAAAAATTGCATAAATCATAAATGCTACAAATAAATTGTAACAGTAAACAAAAGAATGCGTAAAATTACATTTATTATTATTTGAAATCAGTCCACAGGCTCAAATTGTAATCAATTAATTATTAAAAATTAATTAATGATTTTGTTTAGTTTTCTTATTTGCTATAGTAAGTAAGTAATTCATACAAAAATATATATATGTATGTATATATGTAACTATTTATGTATATACATAGGTCACTACAATTAAAGACGCACATTTAGCAAGCAGTGTAGCTAGAACTTATGCTAATATTAAATTAAAACTTAAAACTATAATGAAATAACTGCGCGGCTTATGCGCAGGCGCCTTGAACAAATTTTCATTTTACTAACTGCATAACGGTTAACACGTCATGTGATTTGTTTTTGCTGTAGCTATAGTCTTGTAGTGAGCACACATTGAAATTTTACAGTTCTGGCTTAAAACATTTGGTGCGCAAGTGCGTGCGTGTGTGTGATTTCCGGTAAAACGCTACAAATACGAAGCGAAAGTTACAATTTTTTCATATAATTTGTATGTTCAGTGCACCTTTGAATTAACTAAGCATGCTATTTTGCACATTTTCGTAATTTCAAAATTTCGCATTTTCAACTTATGCTATTTTATAATTGAATATTCGCTTGCTTTTAGCGATTTACATATAAAACATTTTTATAGCGGATACATACGTGCAAATAACATAGAATTGTATATAAACTTGTGCATAGTTATACATACATATGTACATATGTATGTGCTTTATTTTACAATTTAATTTTTGTTTATGAAAAAAAGGAGTGTGTAAGTAATTTTCGGCAGCATAATTTACAGTTGGAAAATGTTGAAGTTTTGCAGCTACATATATATGAAATAAATATAAATGATTTGTTGGCGGTGTTGCCGTTGAATTGCAGCTAATGTATATTTTAGGAAAATAGTAAACATTTTGAGAAAAACATATTTATTTATATTAAACTTGTTTTTTTGGCTTATGAAAATTTATGCGCATTAGTATTATCTAAAAAAAATTTCGAAATAAATATATTTTTGATTTTATTTATATTTTAAAATTTTATGTTGTCTAAAGCAAAAAAATATGTATAAAGTAATTATTCATTTTAATTTCTTTATTAAAATTGTTGCTTGTAAAATGAAAACAAAAACAAATTTGATATTGATCACCAAAAAGTAGTATGATAATTCGAAAAAACCATTAAGTTGCCAATGATGTCTCTTCCAAATAAATTTTTGCCTTTATACATACATAAATTTTTTATATTGTTAAATCAGAATCATCATTTTCTTATTAATTCATTAATCATCAAAAAAGTGTTTTGAAAATTCAAAAAAAAAGAAATTGTTACATTGTCAATGATGTGTTTTTCAAGTAAATTTTGCTTTTATTTTTTAACTTTTTTTATACTTTTGTAAAATTAGTGACATCATATTCTAAAAAAAATAAATTAACAGCTGAGCACTATAAAAATCAGTGACATCATTTGTTTAAAAAAAGTATATTGCTCACCAAAAAATATTTTTGAAAACTCGCAAAATATTGGTTGTCAATAATAACTGCTAAAGTTAATTTTTTGCTTTTATGCTTAATTTTTTGAAAATATTTTTGTGTTTAGTTGCAATAAATTAAGCACTTGCCATACATTTTATCTAAAAACTTTATATTTTCTTAGTATCTGCAACCAAAATAATTGATAACATGTTTTGCACAATTTTATATTTATTTCCTGCTGCTACAAGTCTACAAACACACACTTCTATAATCATTATTTTTTATTTTCCGCGCTGCTTCTACGACTTAAGCCGACCTACTACACCGCTAACAAGCAAATCACTGCATCATAGCGCAAAACAAACGCGTGTCTCGACAAAAATACACTACACACATATATCTATAAGCAATTCTAGGTCGACGCCTTTTCAAATTCTATTGTAATTGTGTCTTAAGCCGCATGTACCGCCTTGGCGTGTCCTAAATTGCGCCAAAAAATTACTGAAAATGCATGCTTGTGTGTGTGCCACACTGCATACGTCATTATATGCATATATATATATATATATGTATTTGTATGCGTGTGTATGTGTTTATGCTTTACATTATTTATTTGTTATTTTATTTACTTTATGTTTAGTATTTAAAAAAAGTGTTTTACTTTTTTGTTTTGAGGTAAATTTGGCAAACAAATTACATTAATTAATTAATTAATTACGTTCATTAATTATAATTACTATTTAATATGCATAATCGTAAGTGTAATTGTAGTCGTTACATTGTTAAATATGTAATAGTTTATATAATAATAATTGCTGGTACATAATAATACATACATACACTACTTTTCGTTACGGACATTGAGAAATATTTCTTGCTTTTCTTGCTTTATTTTGTTTGAATTGTTTTTTATAGTATATATAATTTTTTTTACTTTATGTTTTCTGGTTGTTTCGTCGTCACTCTTGCTTCATACATGCACTTATTTATATACGAATATTTGTTATTGTTGCTTACACCATTTTTATATTTTTATTATTAATAATTGTTGCTTTGGTCCCACTGCGACCACTTCTAGGTATGTATGTGTATGCGTGTTGGTGTGAATACTTTTTGTTAAGTTGCTTTAAAGAGTTTTTTGCTTTTTTTCTTGCTACATTTCACACGCAATTTTGTAGATTTACTGCATTTTACACTGTCTTCCTCCCACGCTGTACTCTTCTTCTTGTACTCACATATTTAATTTTTACAATTTAACACTTTTGTAAACTTATCAGCTTTGAATTATGCAATTCGCCGCTTTTTTATATTATTTTTCTATCGTTTTTATATTCTTTTCTTTATATTCCGCAACCTCTTTTAACTGCTTCGATTCGTGCGTGGCTGGCGGAGACCGCAGGAGTGCAAGTGTTGCCTTCAACTCCCTTATGTGTGTCTACGCTTTTCTTCGTTGTTGCAGCATGTGTCGGCGTCTGTCGACCTGACTGCATTTTTTGTCCCCACGAGTGTGCTGACACACCGTTATACCGCGTTTTAACTGCTAGCAGCTCCTTCGTGCTTCCATTATCTTCGGCTGCGCTTTTCATGCTGCTCTGCTGTTCGCTGCAAATGTTGTTGCTACATTTCATATTACTTTTCTATCAATTCCGCTTCCCTCCTTGACGACTAGTGTTGCTCTAAACGTTCGGTTTACTCGTCTTGCCCCGTTACTCGCCCCACATCGTCTCATACGTGTGGGAATCTTGTTGCCCGCTCGCATTGTGTTTGCTTTGTTTTGTGTTTGCTCGGTGGTGATGGAATGATTAGTGTGTTTCTCCTCGCCTTACACTTGTTCTTCTTATTTATCATGTTTTTCTTCCGCTTTTCCTTCTTCTTCTTCTTATTTATCATGCTATCCCTTAGACATTCCATTTAATTTACATTTATATTCCTAATAGTCAGTATCGTGCGCAGATATTTTTCCGCCTCACCGCGCCTCGCTTGTGTTTTTCTATTTTGTTGCACTTTCTCGAAAGTGTGGCACCCCTCTTAGTTGCATTTTCACTTGCATATTCTTCGTATGCTGGCGCACATTCAACTTAAAAATTAAAATCGTTGCTTTATCCTTAAATATTACGAGTCTATTAACATTACTTTATTTTATTATAATTATAATTATATTTGTCGCTGTCACTCTCTGGTTCTCTGTCGCTGCTGCTGCTGCATATCTCGCTCTAATCGATCTCACTGCGTTTCTGCTGTTCCAGCTGCATCCGCTGCTGCCAGCCTCCTGCTCATATTGGCTAACCTCGATTTTTGCAGCTTGCTTGATTTTGTGTTTACATTAATTAAATTTAAATGAAAAGAATTTGGTTAAGATGGGTGGTATTGTTGGCTGTTTTGTTGTTGTTGTTGTATTTATTATTTGTAGTTAATTAGTATCTACTTTTAGGCGGCTATGGCCTCATTTTGCCGTCATTCCCATTGGTGCGGCGATGGCGGCAATTCGGAAGGATGCGCTACCGTTGAACTGCAAAAGGGAAATGGAAAAATGGACAACAAATTATAAGCAAACACTCCAGCTATTTTATGTAGTACAATACAAATTTTGTTAACCAAAAACGAAGATAAAAATATATAAAACAGAAGTGAAACTTAAAACATTAAAAACATAAACATAATTAGAGCAATTAATACAATACAACATATCTGCTACTAATACATATGTGAAAAAAAAACACAACAAAAATAATAAATAAAAATTATTGCTGAGTATAGAATTCTACATTATAACGGAAACGGAAATATTTCAAATTTCAATGTGGCGTGGAAACAAAATTTGAGAATTTTTGTGAGTTTGAGTTTTGTTTATGTCGGAGAGATTTTAATTATTTTTTCAATATTTTTTAGTTACTATATAACAAAGTTACAACATCTGATTTTATAGGAAAAAACATTTATTTTTCGAATTTTACTTATTTAAATATTTTCATAACAATTATCAAAGAATATATACATATTTCATGTATTTATATGTGCAACGTACAAAATCGCTCGAAATAATAGCAAACGTCACTTATCAATGAAATTAGTGCCTACAAATTAGATAGATTATAATACACTGCGCTTCATCAGGTTAGCTCACTTCAGGTTTAAGCGGTTATATACAGTTAAAAAACAAAAAAAAGATTTTAAAATTTTATTTTCTTAATATACGATACATATGTTTGAGAATACACAAAAAATAATATCGTTCTGGTGAACATTTTCGAAGTTACACGCAAATTTAAAAAGGCGTTGCAGAGTGCTTGGAAGCACAAGGCCAAACTTTAAACTTTTCTGAAAATGGTGTTTTCAAAGTCGATGACCAACATTACTCGAAAACGCCTAAAGCGATTAGTGTCAAATTTTAACACGAATTTCTTAAATATATTTTTTAGTAATGAATGGAAGATTTTTTCTCACCGACAATTTTTTTTTTTAAACAATTTAAAGCCGAAATTTTTGTCACAAATCAATTATTTTTTAGAAATGTTCATTTTGTTTAAAAATTTTATTTTTCTTATTCCTTTGATTAACTAATAGATTTAACATAACTTTAATGGAAGCTGTTTGTCTCTTTTAATTTCAGAGGTTTCAGTTCGGAGATATAGTGGTCACCACGAAACGTCTGTTTTGTGTGGAGTTTCCGGAGATCAGCTGCGATTCCTTTCCAAATAAATATTTTTACTAATACTAATTCTTAAAGTGCAGTTAAAAGATGCCATAATATGTGTACAATTTTTTGGATCAATCAATTTAAAAGTTTTCTCACAAGAAATTCTAAAAAATTTGCTTTTATTCGGTCTTCTAACTGTATCAACCTCTTATATCATAAAATTGATCAATAAATTTCATGGCGTCTTCTGTCAAAACAAAAAAAGAAGGTACAATTCTACAGTTTTTAGCATTCACTAAAATATCACATTTTTAACAAACAAACCAAAAAAAAAAAAAAAAAAAAAAAAAAAAAAAAAAAAAAAAAAAAAAAAAAAAAAAAAAAAAAAAAAAAAAAAAAAAGCGATGAGTCTGGAAACTGCATTGATTCTTCGTGTTATTTCTGCCAAATTTCCAATCAATATCGTGCCGCAACCCCCATAATTCGCCTGACTTAGCTTCGTGAGACTTCTTATTCAGCAAACTTAAAGGACCACTCCGAGGAAATCGTTTTGAATCAATTGAAGACATTTAACGTGAATCGCTAATCGCATCAACAAGAAAAAACAGGAGCACTTGTGCTGTATTAGGCTAAGGAAGGTGTGCGAACCTGATGACGCGCATGTACATATATTCAATTAATTAACTTTACAGTCTTGTGAACGTGAACATCGGTTGTACTGAGGATAAGTTACCTTCACAGGTGCTTTTACTTTATTACCATTTGAAGAAGGCAGTTGTATGGCAGCTATATAATATAGTAGTTCGATCTGAGTAATTTCTTCGGAGATTGTAGGGATGCTTTGGATAACAATCAAGAAACCTTGTACTCAAAAAAATTTTTCAAACAAGGACTTTCAAACAAGGATCTAATCCTTCAGTTTGTATGGCAGCTATATATATACTACTATTACATACTACTTTGATATCGGTGTTGCCGACAACAAGCAGCGAGAAGAGGAGGGATGCAAAATTACAGACCGATATTTCAAAAAGAGAGAGTTTAGTTCGGGTATATACAGAGAGATAAACAGATGGACATGGCTAAATTGAGCTAGCATGTCATGAAGAGCATTTATATATATACAAGTATATATTTTATAGAGTCTACGACTTCTGGGTGTTACACACTTTCTAATCGGGGTATAAAGTAAAACATAGACAATTCAAATATTTTATAGTTTGATTAGATTATTACATGAAAATTTAATTGAACCGCGACCCTGCATAGAGAGGTATTAAAGCCATTTACGTTTGAATGGTATTCCAGGATAGATTACATTGAATAAATAAATTTTTTCGCGTGATTCAAGCGTAGCTACTTAGCTACAATAGCCTTACTTTGACATATCACGCGTGAGTCGTGTCAAGCTGTCATGTTATTTTTGTTCACAATAGTAGATATTTTAAATTGAAAGCTTGACAGCTTGTGTAAGAACTGAAGTTGCTACACTTACTCGCTTCGCTCTATGGGTCATGAAAATAAGATCCGAAGTTTTCGAGCTAAATTTAAATGGTTTGTGCACCTTTGGAAACATCAATCCATATTTTTTTATATGACAGCGTAACCGTCAACAGCAATCGTTATGGCGACATGATAACTGATTATTTGTTGCTTGAAATTTATGTTCGTGATCTCGACGACATTTGGTTTCACCAAAAAACAAAATGGCGCTATTTCCAACAAATCGCATCAAACAATGGAAGAACTGAGAGAACACTTCGGTGAGCAGATAATTTCACGTTTTGTTCCGCCCGATTAACCATCAAGATCGTGTGATATCACACCATTAGACTGTTTCTTTTGGTGATATGAAAAGTCTAAAGTCTATGCGGACCCGCTTTGATTCAGTTGCTAATGTTCTTTCGAATGATAATAAACAACGCCCATTAAATTTGAAGTTCCTGTGTGTTTTGTTTTTTGTTTTAAGTAGGGAGTCTCGAAATGGATCATCCGCTATAGTTTACAAGTTTTTGCTTCGAATATATAATTGTACATATAGTTACATACTATATCTACAATTTTCATATAAAATTTCAGCTTTTTTTCTTAAACATTTACCAAAAAAATGGCAAATTATGTCATTATAAAATGAACCCACCGAAATGATGGTCTTTCAATTAGCTTTTTTCAACGCTTTAGTGGTGTAGTTTTTCAAGGACATGGTACTTAACTTAAATTATAAACTGTGTTAAATAATCATCAGTATTGAAACTCCAGTTGTGTGTGTGTTGGGAAAACATTTTTGCAATTTTATAAAAAACAGAATTTCTAATAATATACAAATGTAAGTGTCACACTAAGTGTTAGTATTGTGTTGCGTGTTAGTGTAAGTACAATTTAAATAACTAAAACTACGGAAATACACATACAGACATACAAAGGTGTAAACTATGCTAAATAATAACTATAAAATCAGTGAAATCATAACAAACTAAATGATGGCGAGAGATGACTAGCTTGCGATAAAGTACTACCCATGATAAAAAATATAAAAACAAATATAAAAACGAATAAAGCTGCAATTTAGTTTAGTTTAGTTTCGGTTAGTTGAGTTTAGTTTGGATTTTGGTTAAGGGCTAAGAAGGAGATAATGTAATAACTACTAATAATCACTGCTGCATTCTATAGCCTATGTTTTCGCGGCGTGTGGCAGATCATATTCACAACTATACATACATACAACTGCACAAAACGCGTTGGCCACGACACAATTTGTTGGACAGACACACCCAATTGGCGCCAGCTCGCCGGCAGCCATAGTTTACAGTAGTTAGTAATAAGGTGTATTGTTGTTGTACAATTTAGTAGCATTGCGTTAATTGACGAATGATTATTGTTGTTTTTGTTGTTGTTAGGCGTTACACATAAGTACATGTTTGCGATAAATTTTGAAAGTACACCACATTAGAGCGCGACGCAACAAGCATATATGTATATTCGTTATGTATGAGTATGTGTATGTAGCTGGCAATAACGGTACTATTTTGCTCTAAAATACAAATTTTTGGCTTTATACACAGTAGTTTGGTAAATTTTTAGTACAGAGAGCACTTCTACATATGTACATACATACACCATATATACGTTGTATATATACAAGCATACAAGCATACACAAGTGTGTGCGTGCGTTTATTTATTATTGTTATATGGCTGGTTTGTAGTTGTTGATTTGGTTAGGTTGTTGGATTTAGTTAAAAACGTTGGTGTGATGGGGTGTTTGTAGGAGTTGTATGAATGTATCTTCCTTTAGACCTATGTATGTAAGTAACCGGTGCTAACATTTGTACAAATAGGCATTTACGTAGAGTTATGTATATAATGTATAACGGGTAAGTGGTTATGAAAATATGTATGCATGTTATATTATGCCTAATTTTTAATTCCCTAGCTTCCAATTACACAAATATCATAAACTAAAGGGGAGTGAAATAACTTTCGAAAAGTTACTAACATAAAATTTATTGATATTTTTGGTAGCGCTAAGACTATATATTAACTAAATATACACACACGTACACATACATACATCTATTGCTAAGTGTATACAACTAGATCTTAGATAAAGTTAGGTTATGTTAGGTTAAGAGGTCAATCCTAACAGTGGGGAGCCTAGATCGACAGGTTATGTTAAGAGGACGATCCTTACAGGGGTATCGCTCTTAGAACAGCTTAGATCGCCGGTCAGTTGTGGTACTTAAAACTCCTAAACTAAATCTTATTTGAGGCAAATTAATATTTTTGAGTGGACTCTGAACACTATAAAGTATATTTTTGTTGTTGAGTTATGTCTGGTATAAAGGAAAGCCAGCAATTTTTGGTGTGACTGGTATTTTATACTTAATCTCCAATCAGTTGTGACTATTTTTGTACAAGATAAAAAAAAAAACCAGAAACTTGGTTATTTGAATTTTTTAAAATAAATTTTTAGGTTATTTGAAAATGGTGTTAATAGAAAAGTTGTAGATCTTTGCATTACCTACAATTTTGCTTTATAACTTTTTTCTAAGGGCTCGCAGTTTTGCTGGAAATTGAGCTTAACGCCACTGAAAAATCCTTCTTCTTCCCGTCCTCAGATCCTGTGAAGGGTATTACTTACTACTTATTATTTTTTCTTAAATTTTTTTTTTTTGGTTTTTGTTTTTCGTTTCCAATGGATCCAATCCTTCGTGATTTTTACGTCGTCAGCATAAAACATAAAAGTTTGGTATTATATTGCTATTTCACCTAATCTCTTGATTTCATATTAATCTTATGACAATGCATTATACAATTTCTGATAAGAGGGTCCTTTCTATTATATATAGGTGAAACATTATTTTCTCCTAAGAAGCTGCTCATTTGTGGCAACCATCGATTTCGAAACACTATAGAACATGTAGCTGCCATACGAACTGGTCGATTAATATCTAGTTCTCGTAGGTAAAACTTTGTTGTTTGAGGAGATATTTTCAGCTGTAATCCAATTCTTCAGATCGGACCACTGTAGTATAGAGCTGCCGTACGAACTGACCGATCAAAATCAAGATAAACGTCTTTTTACACTTCTATGCTATAGGAAATGCGCCTACATAAAACGTGCTTAAATATTTCTGTCTATAAAACGCTCTACTCTAAAATTCAAACTAAAACTATGTATACACTTTATGTAACCTAACTTAATATTAACCTAGCAATAAACTATTTTTTTAATATATCTAAATAAATAAATATTACATATACCTTTGGAGCATCCGTTTGGAGCCCGGACATTTTACTACAAAATACAGCGGTCTATAAAACTGGCTAAATGGTTTGTTCATAGAAACATTCCTTCAGCAGTTATAAGCACTTACAACCAAGTTTCAAATTTGCTGCATTCATACAATACGAGTACACCGTGGCGTATGAAAAACACATTATGAGTAATTCACTTGTAAGAATGCTCTAGTATTTAGTCTAAAAATTAAAGTGCTTATAACTTTTAAATGAGTTTGAGTCTACAAATTAAAGTGTTTATGGAAAAAAATAATTTATACCCTGTTTGCAGAGCGGAAGATTTTGTAATAAAAAAAAAAACAAATAAAGAAGGCAAATAACGGACACTCTAATGTACATATATCTAAAGGTTGGTTAATCGCAAAAACATTGAAAAAAAAGTGTAAAATAAAAACAAAAAAAAAAAACTAAAAATAAAAAAAAACAAAAAAAAAAAATTAAAAATAAAAATAACAATAAAATTTAAAAAATAATTTAAAATTTCGCTTACTAATGTCAAGTAGTATTTATATATTTCGCCTTTTGTCCGGAGGTAATTGGCAACCTAAACGGCGTTCCACACACACTATAACAATATACTTGTAATATATATATACATATATACAGAATACCTACATATACATACATACATATCATATACATATGAAATGCTGTATCAGGTAACAGCAGTATGTTGTAAATTACATTGTCTAACTGGTTAACAAAGGTCATGATAGCGTAAGTGGTTGCTAAATAATGGCAAACATATAATAAAGTAACCAAAAAAAAAAAAAAAGTAGTCAAAATAAATCAAATGTGAATTCAATATTAAACAGACCTAATTCAGAGATTTCTTTTGTTGTATGTAGACATATTGTGGTTGAATAAATTTGTTGTTGTTGCAAATGTGCTGAGCTGCAGTGCTGCTTTAAACAATACAATGCCAATTACAATGTTGTTGTTGTGCTCGACGAGTTCATAGTTGCACTAGACGCGCTTTGTTGTCATTCAAGATGTTGCAATGGCGTAAATGTCCATAAAACGCACACACACACACACACACAACCGAGTGGCAATCACGAGCCACTACCCGTGGACTCATCGGCAGTAGCCGTTGCACTACCGTCTTGGCTCTCCCAGCACAAGGTCAGATTTAGCATTAAATCGAATGAGTCCATCAATGGGGACACGGGCCCCTTATACGTTGGCGGTGTGCTATAGTCGAATGAACTGAAGCTGGGCAATTTGATGCAGGACGGTGTGCTTGCATTGCTCGCAGTGGGTGGTGGTGAGTCCGCTAACGATGACGGCGTGTACACAATGAACTTAAGCGCCGCATCACAACCAAGTTGTTGTTGTCGACGTCGATCGATCTCCAGCTGTTCCATGATCGTTATGCCAATGGGATTTCGCTTGTTGCGCTCTTTCCGCAATTTTCTAACTTGCTCAACGTATCTATGTATTGTAGTTAAAAATGGTTTAGTTGAATGTGTGCACACAACAATCGAATACACATGTATATATCTATATATATGTATATGTACACAAACAAACACACTATGGGTTTTTGTTGTTAGAACGCGTCTAGTCCACTGACATTATTATTATATTTTTTTTTACTTCGATTTTGTTTTTGTTTTTGTAATTTAAAAGTTCATTATTTTTGACGAATTTTCGCCGCTACCAATGCTTAAGTACGGTTATGTGGCAAAATGGCTTATCGTTTTCGCATTGACTTCATGCATGACACGCGGCATTGCATACTTTACGGCTGAGTGCATTTAGCTGAGTTGTGCGTGATTGTGTGCGATTGCTATCTCTATAGCGCTCAACGTTAACTGTAATGTAATGCATGTGGGAGGAATACATTTTAAATATGCGCTAAATACACTATACATATAGCTGTATATACATATACATATATATATTGTATTTGCTTGCTATTGGTAAGCTGTTTTTTTTTTTTAACAATGGTTTTTGCTTTTGTTGGCTGTGGTTTTCACTATATGACTTTTATTTTTGTTCTTGTTGTTGTTGTGGATTTTTAATTCATTTTACGATTTGCGGTTTTCGATTTAACTGCTCTCTGTCTCTCTCGCTCGCTCGCTATTTGCAGCTGCAACTGTATATGTAACTGTGTAACGGCATCTGTTGCACCAAACAGCGTCTCTAACAGCAGTGGTTGCAGTAGTGGTAGTAGCAGTAGTAGTAGTAGTAGTAGTAGTAGATTATCTCATTCTCATTGGCTTAACGCAAATGTAATTAAATTCAATAAATTTATTTTTAATAAAACTTTTATTAATTAAAGAATTAATTTACTATGAATGAAATCGTTTGAAAGCATGATTAAATAACAAATCGGTAGCAAAAAAGGTAAAATCATTTTCGGTTTGGTGAATGGATTGCTCTAGTTGTTGTTGTAGTGGTAGTGGCAGAGATGTTAAAAATGAAATCAAATGAGCTGCGACTCTGTGAGAGACAACACACACAAAGGACACAGTGTAAAGGAAGAAAGTGGAACAAAGTTGTAACGGAAATGGGGTGTGAGCAGAGAATGCATGAAGAATTTTGAGCAGAAATTTCGACTAAAGATCACGAGGTAAGTGGCTACACCAAAAATGCGCACGAAATTTTAATGAAGGTTATGAAGTAAAGAAATAGTACATTTTATTAATTAAAAGTAAAACTAAATGGGTAAATTATGACAAACAAAGAAATTCGTGTGTTAATAGTGCAGTGAAAGAATTTCACAAAATGAGTAATCAGAGAGAGCCAAAAGAGATGTAAAAAATGAAAAAGTAAATAAAAAACTGTGAAAATCAGTAATAATGGTAAAAAATTAAGATCAATTAAAAAATAATAAAAAAACATTAACAAAAATGTTTTTAAAAAATTAAAAAAATAACAAATTTAAAAACAAAACAAAAACAGAAATAA